AAAATCTAAAAAAATGAAGTATGTACCCTTGCATGGAATAAAGGACGAACCTAAAATGTATTTAAAGGAAAAAAAATATTTATAAAACTATTACTTAGGAAAAATTTAGTTTTTCATGATAAACTGATTATTATCAATTCGATGGACAGATATTTGAGAAAATTAATACTGAAGTCAATCGAGCCATAAGTAGTAAGAGCGACAAATTCAAATAAGAGATTAGTTCATAATTAAACTGGCAACGTGGTGTTCATTAGCATTAAGAACGTTTTTAACGCTCTGTCCCTTCAAACTTTTCAAAGCAACGATGCCAGTTTGCTTATAGACTTATTGCCATATCGTGGAACAGAAGAGAATAAAACTGAGTGACTATTGATCGAGACAGGATCCTTATATATTCTATATTATATACAGTATATTAAGTGTAATATACATTTAGGATACTTTATGCGACCGGTTATTAGAATTTCCCGCTCTTATTTCTTGACTTCATTGATTTCAGTATTTATTTTCTCAGATAGCAGTCCATCATATTACAAATAATCAATAAATTTGTCGTCGACTTGTTGTGTAGTTTCAATCTATTGCTTTAGTGTATTAGTGATTGGGTTTGACTATTTTTATCATTAAACATTATTTCTCGACAGAAGTTTTTCTCTCGTCGGCCATAAAGACTTATTAATTCCGAAGTACTGGTCTAAAAATTGTTATCGACCAGTCATTTTCTTAATTAGATTATTTACTGTTTTCCAAGCTAGTTCAATATATATGCTGCCTTTAAAAAAAATTAAGTTATAAAATGAATAAAGGCAAACCTATAAAGTATTTAACCATTTAAAAATCAAAAGATACTACTTAAAAAATCCAAAAAAAAAAAAAAATTCAATATTTTTATTAATATTTAGAATACATTTAATGGCCAATGATGAGTCAATTATTCTACTAATAATAATATAATACCCTAAATCTATTTAAAAATATTTTAGTATGATTTCACACAATTTTTATTTAAAAGTTTTATACATTTATTAAGATTTAAACTTTGTAAAAAATAATTGAAATTTTAAAATTTTAACTTTAAAGTTTAAAAAAAATTTTTGGAATGTAATTTTAAAATGTGATTTTAAGTAGCTTCTGAAATTTAAAAGTGTATACACGAGGCGTACATAATTTATAGGAAGATGGTGGGATAAAAACATAAACCCCCTTTTCAATATTTTTAATATGATTTGATTCTATAAAAAAATATTTTATAATAGATAATTGAAACCCTACCACCTTTAATTTTTTTATGTATATATTAAAATAATATTTAATTTGTTTTTTAAAGAGAGGAGGTGGTTACATCTATAATTTTTGAGAATTATTTAATCTTTAAAGATGTTGAATTTTTTTTTTGCGATTAACTTCTGAGGTCCCAATATGGTTGTATGTTGTTATGAAGTAAGTTTTATTAAAACCCTTCATCAAATCCTTCCATGTATATTAAATACTTGAACAATTATAAAATGTGTTTATTTATTACAATATTTTTACAAGGAAAAACCCAAACAAAAGAAATCACTAAAAAGAATAAAATAAGTCATATTAGATTATAGTCAATTTATTAGGATAATAATTTAAAATTGTTGTTATTTTTGGAGTCAGCGCCAGCCCAGGTTCACAAACGTTTATCAGTGAAGTACCTTAGTACGAATGGATATACATTTAATATTATAATAGACAACAAGACAGCAGACGCGGTACAGAATAGGTATTTCCTTAATGGTGGCGAGGAATAGTAGTAGCAGTGATTTCAACAAAGTTATTTTCCAATAGCAATAGAGTTGCTAATCAAAACGATTAATAGCAGTGATTGCTAGTTTTTATTTATCAATATTATTACTTTTCAAACCATATTGTTAACTGCCACAAATTACTAGGTCAGATTTAACATTTCATTTGATTAAATTGATTATTAGAACTATTATTATTTATTTACAACGTCAAACCATAACTATATATTCGTCATGCTGTTAAAATTATTATTGCAGATTTTTAAATATTTTTTTAGAACACTCCCCAAATAACTCCCAGAAATCGAATTTTCGGATAGTCTTTCTCTTTTCAGCTTATAGTACATTGCATTAACTTTAATTTATGTAAGTTAAAAGACAGGTTTTTTGAAACATTGTCAAAAATTGAAAAGAAAAAAAATTATTGTGATGATTTTATGCTTTCACAGTACTTTAGTTAATGATAGGATTTTCAAGAAACGTATATTAAAATTTAGAAAAGCATTTTTTATAATTGAAAATTTCTTTAGATTTATGTATCATTCAAATAAATACGTTTTTTTAATTTTTTGACATATAGTTGGGCAAAATTGGTTGGCAAAAAGAGCGGAGTAATTGTGTTTCACGAACACACAAAAAAATTAATTAATAATAGTAGCATATAACCAATAGTCTTTTAGCTACGAATCGAATCTAATAGTTATATAAATTAGCAGTTTTATTATTTCTTAAAACAATATCAATAGCTGCTGTTTTTTACTTCTACTTTAAAATAACAATAACATAAGATGCTACTAAAATAAATAACATTTTATCTCCACTAATTTATTTATAAATAAATTCGAAAATTTTGATATCAACAGTCGACGACGTCTGCCCTCTACATTTTAGAACGTTCGGGTCGCTACTCTCAACTATGTTACCCTTCCGCCATCTCGGTTTGTACCCATTACCAGTATACTGATAGTGGTTTATAGTATACTTGTCTATGATTAAACGTATGCCGTCTTGTTGATTATGGAACACGTTTGTTTAACTTAGCTGGTGGCGACTCCGACAATATTAAAAATTTATATTATTATTCTTATAAATTGATTTTATTCTAATTCTAGTCTAAATTATTTTACTCTTTTTAGTGAATTTTTTCATAGCAGATTTATTAGTCGGTATCTTTTCTGTGTACAAATTTTTATTTTTACTTTTTAGTATATATTTTTAATTATTAAGTATTACCTGATAACGAAGCCTGAAAATAGGTAGTTCATTTGGGTCTATTTCAGTGACCATTAATACCATTGATTACATTTTTCAGTTATTTTGATTTATAAACTACTGAACAGATTTTGATATAATTTCTATGGGACTAATTTAAAAGCATGTACTTTTAAATAAAAAAAGAATTTTCGAAATCTGTTTATAAATGGCGGAGTTCTGAGGTAACAAACAAAAATTACAGCCGAATTCATAACCTTCTCCTTTTTTTAAAGTCTGTTAAAAACAATTTATGTCATGAGTACTAAAGTATTTAATCCGGATTCCGTCCGAGTAGCATTATATTAGTTCATGATCGGTTCTAGTCAGCCACGAGAGCTGGGAAAGTTCAGCTTTCAATAAGTAACCCAGTATTTTCTTTATAAGTACTAGGAAGATCAAAGTTCAAAATAAAACCGTACTGTTTTATTAATGTTCAAAAGTGCACTCGGTAACTTGGCTCTCAGTTTAAGTACTGTTCATACGATCAATTTGTACCTACTATTTCATTTTATTTTAAGTACAATAGAGTCATTACAATGATTATAATAGATTGATATACAGTTATAATTTTATGTAATAATTTAACCTTTAATTATTAAATTAATAAAATAATAACATTGAAAATATAACAATGATCAATGATGACTTTATTGAGACTAGCGCGAATTCATTTGGTTAGCTTATGGCGGAATATCTAGACCTGCCCCTAACCACTGACCAATAATTCTACGCATGTGTTTTAATTGTAATTTAATTTAGTTGTGATTTGTGCTCCATACCCGCAAGTTATTGACCAATTTTATCATTTTTATAAATGCTCATTTTGAAACATTGCCATTTTCTTAGCAACAAGAGAACTGACCAGATTTATGGCTCTCTTGTCTCTTTCCTGTTTATAATTTGTTTTATGCTTAACTCAAAAGTAAGTAATTTAATTATATTTTTAAAAGTATAGTAGTATATTGAATTTGTAAGTAATTTTTGAATTAGCTTATATGAAAATAAAATTAATTTTAGTAAAAGATGCTATATGGTAAAATTATTTAAAGAACTTTTGAGAGACATTGTTCAACATATTGACAACTGAATAATTTATTTTAATTGCAAACAAAATACATATGATAATTTTAGCTTTGNATGTATTAACAAAAAAATTTTCTTTATAATACGTTATGTTTTCAACAAATTACTTTAATATAAAATGAAAACCAATTATAACAATCAGTTAAAAAGTCCTAATAGTCATAAACGTTGAACGCTGATGTTTACAAATTAACGTCGGGATAGGAATAATGTATCGATATCAGGGCAGTATACAGGGGGGGTTAGGGGTTCAACCCCCCCCCCCGAAATTTTGAAAGAATGTTTATTCATTATAATATAACAAACAACAAGCTTTATATAAATTCGTACATCTACAGTTTGTATTATAAATTTTAAGCATTTGTACATTTCCCAATTGCCCATTAGTCTCACATTATCTTAAATTTTATAAAATGACAGACATTATCCGATAATCGGAAGACGGACTTTATCAGTTTATAAATAAAATAGTTCGCTGGTTTTTCGCCCGTTTAGTCATATTTTCAGAAGTATTGTTCTAACATATATGATTAATAATTCATTTGATCTTGTATTATTTTAGCTGTGTATCTGTTAACAGCATAGGTATTTTGTATTAATTTTTTATTCTATACATATCTTAAAAAATGAAACGAAGTATGCCATCTCAGTCATCGATTTTTAATTTTTTTCATAAGAAAAACAATCAATTAAATTCAGATTTAGTTACTTCCATTACAAAACCACTAGAACTACCAGACGAATTACTAGAACTTCGAGATATTGGACGGTATAATAGATAATAGAATAACTGATGATAAATTTAAGTACGAATTGATAAAAAATCCATGGGTGCCTTCAACAAATTATAATTTTCCGGTGGTGTCAAAAAGAAAATTGAAATTCCAAATGTCTTGGTTAACACGGTTTCATTGGTTAACTTATTCTCAGAAATTAGAAGGAGCATTATGTAAAATATGTGTATTATTTTCTAATGAATGCATTGGAAAAGGTTCTAATCAAAAAGTAGGTGCTTTAGTATGTAAACCTTTTACTAAATGGAAAGATGCTATAGAATGTTTTAAATTGCATTCTAATGCAGAATACCATAAATTGTCTATTTTACGTAAGGATGAATTTTTAAAAGTAATGGATTGTAAAAAACCCGATATTTCTATAGCTATCTATTCAGCTCATAAAAACTTAGTTCTAGAAAATCGTGCTAAACTGGTTCCAATTATCGAAACAATTATTTTCTGTGGTCGTCAAGAATTGGCATTAAGGGGAGATAATGAAAGTGGACATATTTTTAACTCCAGTGCTGATAACAATGATGGAAATTTTAGATCTTTGTTAAGATTTAGGGTGCAATCTGGAGATCTCAATCTAAAAGCTCATTTAGAAAATGCGGCATCAAATGCTATTTACATAAGCCCTATTATACAAAACCAGTTAATAAATATTTGTGGTACTCAGACTCAGACTCAGATAGTAACCAAAGTTAAAAATGCGGGGTTTTTTTTCAATTTTAGCAGACGAAACTTGCGATATATCACGAATAGAAAAAATGTCGCTGTGTGTAAGGTACATTGAAGATTGTCGCATTAGGGAAGATTTTTTTACTTTTGTTCCTATTTACGACGCATCAGAAAAAGGATTAGCTCACACAATAATACGTGAAATAGATAAATTAGGTTTAAAAAAAGAACTTTTAGTGGGTCAAGGTTACGATGGAGCTTTGTCAATGAGTGGTATATATAATGGAGTTCAAAAAAATATAAGTGATATATTACCTCAAGCTTTGTACGTTCATTGCGCCGCCCATTTGTTTAACCTCACCATAAGTAAATCGTGCACTATTCCAGAGATTAGAAATTGTATTGGATCTATTACTTCTATTATTTCATTCTTTCAAAAATCTCCAATAAGGTCAGAAGTTTTTAAAAAATTTATTAAACACTTAATTCCAGGCACACGTCACGAAACGCTTTTAAAAATGTGTGAAACCCGCTGGGTTGAACGCCATGACAGCTTGTTACGGTTTAAGGAACTATATTTACCAATTACAAACACATTAAGGGAACTCGAACATCATTATAATTTAGAAACATCACAACTTGCATTTCAACTTTCAAAAACTATTACCTCAAGTTCATTTGTAATTTCATTGTACGTTACAGAAAAATTATTTGCTATAACATTGCCTCTATGTAAATCTCTACAAATAATAAATGTAGATTTATCTGAGTGTTGTGAATATGTCAAAAACTGTGTTCAAGTCATTCGTTCTATTCGTGAAAATAGTGAGGTAGAATTTCACAAATTATAGTACGTCAATTTTTTTGCCATTTTTAGACTTCTTCAAAAGTCAATTAATTGAAAGATTTATAAAACATAATTACATTATATCAATACATTTTCCAAAATGCCACGCAAGATTGACTTTGTTCTATGATTTTAATTTTTTTTTCATTAGTTTCATTGTAATAAAATGTTTAATTATTATATATTTAGTACTGTAAAGTATTTTCATTTTATAATTATATAATTATGTACTTTTTGTAATGTGCATTAAAATTTTTTATTATGTATGAAAAATTTTAACCCCCCCCTCCCGAAAATTGATTCTGAATACGTGCCTGATCGATATGAATAAACATATAGAATCTATATGTTTTATATTATAGTTAGTTCCTTTCAAATTGAATATTTATTGGTATCTATATTAGTATTCAATTTTTTACAAGTATAGAAAAAAGTACAGTAATCGTGTTGAAACATAATCAATTATATGTACAAATGTAGTAGAAAGTAATCTCGGGGAATATGTTGTGGTATTATCATTAAATATGTTATAACGTAATATCTCACATTCAACCAGATTGTCGCAAACAATAATTTTTATTCGTAGCTTAAATATTACTGCAGTTACTCCATTATTATCAGTACTTATATACATAAAAGTGGTCTGGATAGGGTAAGCTAAAAGAAATTCTGGCTAGAATAAAAAGGCAAAATGAAAATTTTAGCTTCATTATTTCTACTAATAATATCCCTATGTTCTCTGATTTACGCCTGTTTCACTTTTATTTAAGTATATGATTTAATATATTTAATTTTTCTAAAAAAAATCAGAATAATAAGTTTATTTTACTTTACATCGCTATAATTTGTATAGCTTATGTCAACTTCATTTGTTTACTTAAAAAAAATATTTTTGTAAAAATATCATTGCCTTTTTTTGATATAAAGATACGGATTTTAATAAAAAAATAATTGCGTAAAGTTTTTCATATCGAAATTAAAAGAATGCATTTAGAATACTCATATTTTATACTATGTGTCGTCAACGCAATCGGTATGAAGAATGCGACGGATGATGTTAAATACCTTCAATCGTTATGTGAAAAATCATTATGGACTGATTTAAAGGAACTTCTTTTAAGTATAAATGAAAATGGTAAAAAAGTCACCATAAATGAAATAGTCAATGCTGCTTCAGTCACTTCCGAGACATTAAGTCATAAAGCAACACAAATGCATTTATTGTTAAGCTGCAACATTGCAATAACATTTGTGAAGTATTCAGAAATCGCGAAATGTATAAAAGATAATTGTACAGAAAATGAATGTGAAAACCAGCTGATGATGGAGTTTCAAAGTTTTGCAGAATTAATAACTTTTTGGAAGTCGGCTTTATCAAAATTATCGTCATTTACAGAATCAAATTTAAAAACTGATGTTAATAACATATTAAGTAATCTGATAAAACTAGGTTCATATGATAAAAATATTGATAATAATCTTGAAAAGCTACCCTTAACTTTGCAAAATTTCATGGACCAAAACTGCTATAAATCATCTTTAAAATCCATTTTGGATATTTCCCTACCAGGTATTCAAAATTATTTGCAATCAAAAACAATCCCCTGCTATACTAGAAAATATTTGAAAGATATAAGATACGTTTTAGTAGCTATATATGATAAATTAGATTTTGTCTGGACAAATTCTTTAAGTAATGAGTATAATTTCTGTACTATTCATGATATTTATCAAAGTATGTGTAATGTTATAATACAGCCATATTAAATTTTATTTTCTGTTTTACCTTCATTTGTTATAAGATTATAATAAATAGATATATAGTATTTATTTTTTTTTGATATATTACGGATAATTAATCGCTTTAACATTGTATAAGTTTTTTAGAAATCATAGTTATTAGAATTTACATTCTAATTGTTTTTATCAGATAATTTTTTTTTATCTTATTATATAATTCACGAGTGTTGTTGCACAGACACTAGGGATGAGTAATTCACGAATGAATCGATTCTCCGGATGATACGATTGAAGTGATTTAGTGTGGTAGAAGAATCAGTTAATGGGTAACACTGAAATTTAGCTTATCTCGCAATAAAAGCACACCTAAATACACCATGATCTACGTTATCATTGTTATAGCAAACAATTCTGATTTTCCAAATACCATTAGTTCGAACCAAAAAATGGATAAGCGAGAAAACATCAGACCACTTTTCTGACTAGGAATATTTTTAACGGAATTTAAAAAACAATGCATAATAAAAAAATGTTATATCTGGCTCCCCCAAATTACCAACAAGCAACTGTTACTATTTACTATCGAAAAAATAATGATCATAAAAATCGTTGTACAACTATTTCACTGAATTGATTCAAAGAAAGAGTTGATTCATCTGATCGAATCAAATTTCCCATCACTAACAGACACTTTAACGGTTGTCATTGTTTTTTTTTGAATTTGTTATCAATATTATGATTATGCAAGATTACCAAAACAGGGCCCTTCTTTAACATACAAAATATTTAAAGAAACACCTACACGCAAGTGTCTTATCACAATTAACCAATTAGAATTAAAATGTTCAGTTTCCAAGATTAAGCTAGGAATAGTTAGACTACCGTCTTCGGATTACAAAAAGCATTTTTACCTATGAAAGCTAGTTTTTTTAATTGTTTTGAAAGTTAACTCAAAATTTTTTAAAGTTTTAAATACTTTGAAGATTAAAAGTAAACTTTGATTTGGTGATTTTTAAATTTAAGTTTATTTGTTCTTAAATAATAATATTTTATCATGGAAATAAATGTCAATTAATATGTTAAACATCGATTTTGTTTTAATTGTTATATTTTAACATTAAACCTAGTCCAACTTTAAATGTTTACTCACTGGTAAAATTTTATTGTGAGTTTTTCTACTGGGTAGCTATATGCGTAATATATTCTAATTTCCCTGTTAAAAAGTTAATGTTAAGAATATTGCACCGACAAATTAAAAAGAGAAACTTAAGAAGTTATTTTTATTGTTAAATTTTTGTCTTGGTGATTATTGTGCCACATCCTTTTACCACCTAGACACTTGGGCCACAATAATAAAATATGCTTTTTTAAATGAAAAATATTCTTATTCAACAATGATATTAGTGAATGGCATTTGAATTTTTAATATAACTTTATTCGTTATATAGATATAAAATTTTAATGCTTCAGTTACTATAGACGAGAGTTTAGAAAAGCAGGTAACTAATTCGTTTTTTATGACGTCGATATTTGTAGATCGCAGCTTTTATTATCAATGGTAGTCTGGCACATTATTGTGTATAAATACACCAACTATACAGAAAACATATATAGTGATAGTCATAATTTACAATAAACACTTCATGACTTTGGTAGCGACGTCATAAAAACCAATTACCTACCTGTATTTTTAATCCTGCATATATTATACATGGATTATATTAAAAAATTTGAAACATTTTTGTGTTATTAAAAATTCAAACATTTAATTAAATTAAAAATATGTGTTACCATTTAAAAAAACGAAGTTGACACCCTTACCAGGCATAAGGGATGAACTTAAAAAGTATTACATAGTTAATAATTCAAGAATAATATGTAACTAAAGATAATAATAAAAATTTTTTTTTAAATTATTATTATTCTGTAAGTAATTGAGTGGGTTATGATAAAAAAATCACCCTGTATACATCCATATAGATTCATAGAAACTAACCCATAATTTTCATAATGTAAAAAAATTAACAAAGAATCAATGTATATAATAATTTTAATCAAAATTTATTTATTCAATATAGATAAAAAAAATTACATTATAATTGCATCAGTACATGGATTTTCAATGCTTTTTACATACATATATAATTTTTCATAACTTAAGATAATTAATAATTTATTAAAATAAATTTAATTGAAAGTCTTAATTGTTATGATAAAATATCAAAAGTGATCATAATTATGAGAATTATTTTCCTAGTATTTACCATACTTAACAAAGTTTACAGTTTAATTAAAACAAAATTACTAAACAACTTAAGCTTATGAAAAACACTTAAATGGATGATTAGTCATTCAACAAGATACGTATAAAATAATAAATGATAAAATATGATAGTAACTTTGACAATAAAAATCTTCTACTTTGAAAAAAATCATTTTTATTTTGAATAGATTTATGATTGAGTAAATATAATTTATTTATTAAAATAAAGTCATTTGATAAAAAAAAAAATCGAGCTTATATTTTATAGCTTATCATAGTTTTTACAGCTAATTGCAGCATTTTTATTTTACGACAGTAAGGGTTAAATGGATTAATTTGCAAGAATTTTTCCATGTTGTTTTCCATTTTACTAAGAACTAATTTAATATGTTCTTTGTGAGGGTCAGTGGTGTAATCTAAACTACCAACAGCAGCTTCTAAATACCTATAAAAAATAAATAATATTGTTACTATTTTAACTAATACAAATTCTCTTTGAATAACAGTAAAATAAAATAATCACATAATAAATTAAGATTTAATTGAGGTTTAACTTTATTTATGATTTTAAAGAGCTAAATATATTGACCAGTAAAATTATAGTCACAAATTTTTAGTAAAGTTTTAGAAGTTAAGTTTTAAGTTTTAGAACATAAAGCTATTAGAAAAAAATTGTATTTTAAAATAATAATTTTTACATACTTGTGTTTTAATTCTGTGTTATTTGTCAAATCAAAGGATAGTTGTTGAATCAATGATAATACAATAGGTGTTTTCATTGATACAGCTTGAAATAGTTCTTCTGGTGGAACTGAGACATTTTCACATACATATAGTACTAAATCTAAATTTGATGCAGATAATGCCTAAAATTTTAATATAATTTTTTTTTTTTAACTTCAAAATTAGAGATTAAATAATAAAAATACCAACTTTTTCAAATGCTAAAACAATATCACCATTTTGTAGTAAATCTGATATCATCATATAAAGTCTACTAATACTCTCAGCATCATTGACATAAGATTCTAATTGAGATGAACTCTTTTTAGATACTAAACGAGATAACTGCTTTTGCATGTCAATTTGAGCACTAAAAGCATTTAAGTTACAATAAGTAGTACTTAAATTAAAAGAACTAACTTACTTTAGAATTGTTTTTTCTGTTTGCTTGATAATAGTATTCATATCATTCTTAAATTTATCAAAAGCAAATTCTAACTTATTGTTAACATTAGCATCATCATTTAATAATATTTTCAACTCGTTTTGGTCTTAATGATAAATTTTAAAAAATTATTAAAATTTAATTCATAGTATATTTGTAAATTTAAAACTTACATTCTAGTGATCTTTCCGTGAAAGAAACATCAATTTGTTTAAACATAGAACAACATGCTTGTTCAAATTTAGGAATAACTGTAGTCATAAAAAGATCTTTTAAAACAATGTCTAATGTTGGACTCAATGAAGATACTAAGGATCTTGTAAACAAATCTGTATCAATCTAAAATAAAATAACTGTCAACATTTGCAATTTCTAATTATTTTTATTTTAATAATTAAAGCATGTAAAAAAATTACATGTTATACAACAATTTTTCAAATTTTGTTTTATTTTTTGTAGAATATTGTTTAACTGAAAAATCCTGATAGATTTTTGAAGAAAAGTTCAGGTGACTCTATTATCACCACTAGTAATAATATTCTTAACACATATTTGATCATCTTTCAAAAAATTAAAATATTTATATAGTCTCATTAATACTATAAAGTATACAATATTCCCACCTAGGTTTCAATTAATTTTCAATGTTATGTTAACTGGTTCAAAAGATTTTTAAAGAAAATTTAATTATAACTAGTTATTATTTATATAGTTTGGTAATATATTACATTACCACTTTATAGGACCATTTATAAGTTTAAAAATAAATATGTATAAAAAATTCAACATACACAAAGATGTTGATGTATTTTACATGACATATTTGTTATTTTAAGTTTTATAACTTTTAAGGAACCATAATAACAATATGTAATTGTAGAATTAAGTATTTAACTTGTATGTTTACCTTATTTGAATTTGATACAATTTCTGAAATTTTTTTTAATGTCATTTTGAACTGAAGATCTATAAGTGACTCAATTTTTTTATGTGATAAATCTATAGAAGATTTAATCATTCCTGTAATATAATACAAATAAAATGCTATTAATAACTAAACTTATTAAGCAAAAAGAAATAGGATAGTTACATACCCATTAAATTATGTTCCATAGATCGACAAATATCAACTACTAAAGATTTTTTTATAGATTGAGTCATCATACAAGAACTCATTTGGCTGTCAATTTTATTTTGTTTTTTTGTTAATTGTTTTAACTGACTATTCATTTCTTGAAGGCAATTATATATTTCATCAATTTGATTAGCTATTCCGTTGTTTATATCTACACTAGTATTTTCAATTTTTTTTATAGGTGATAATATATTTTTGCCATTTATAATTGGTTCTGCAGTGTAACAATTAGTTTCTTCTTTTTCAATAGAATCCATAGTTTGATTTGGTTCATAATTATTGCTACTCCACCAATCTTTCTCATTGGAGCTTAAATATAATGTTTAATTCAAAAATTATTTACTAATGCAAGTAGTTACACATTTAAAATATTTACTTTTCAGAAGTAGGCTGATCTTTCAAAATTTTTTGAAGTTCATCAATACTTGGGCTACTTTCTCTACTTTTGGAAATTTGAATCTATAACATAAAAGAAAAATTTAATAAAAGTTAATATACACATAATTTTATCAAACGTAAAACAAATTAAAATTAAAACAACAGTCTAAAAAAATTACTTACGGGTGAAGGAATATTTGTGATTTGTTTTACACAAATTTTTTTCCGGCTTGGGCGCTAAAAAATATTAATTAGAACACTATATATGTGATGTATTCATTAAATTGTTTAATAAATACTTGTGTGTTGTTGGAAACATTTTTTGGATTTAGCTCTATCCCCTTTAGCCTTAGTTTTTCTTTTACTAAATTGTGTATATCCATGGCACTATATTGCTGTTGACTACAGGTATTTAATTCATCGTTTTGGTCAAATGAATTTTGTTCTGCAAATTTATTATCAAAAAAATATATATATAAAAAAACTGAAAAACACGCTTTTAAAGCATATCGAACTATAAAGTTGAAATAATTTTAAAAATAAGCTTAAAACAATAATGAATGAAAAATACTAGTATTATTGTGAAAAAAAGAGTAGAGTTGGGCGCTCAATATACGAAAAATATGGCACAAAGCCACCATGCTTTTTTTGACAATAATACTAGTATTTTTCATTCATTATTGTTTTAAGCTTATTTTTAACTATTCAGTTCAATATGCTTTAAAAGCGTGTTTTTCAGTTTTTTTAAACTATAATTATTTTTCACTTTTTAGTTTTTTATGACATCGCTGTTACAGTCACGGAGTGTTTATTGTCAATTATCACTAGTAATGGATATAATTTCTGTATTGCCAGTTAGTTTGTTTATAAACTCACAAAAATGTGTCTTGTTACCATTGATAATAAAGGCTATATGCTTGCTAATATTGTCATAAAAAACCAATTAGCTACCTGTATTTGTAATAAATTATTTATAAAAAGATTCAAAAAAATTTGAATCTTTAAACGTTTATATCTAATAATAAACGATAAAAATTTGTTTATATATATATATATAATATTGAAGATATGCCCGCATATATGGGTACGAAAACCAAAAATTATACAGGAAAATAGTGTTGACGTTGAGTGATGAGCAGGGTGGTGTGAATGCATTATGGAAGTCTAGTCTCAAGGCCATAGATGATAGGATACGCAAGATAATAACACGTGGTGTGCGGAGAGTTACAAACAACACACATACATGTGAAACTAATATAAGCGTGTTAAAAAAATAAGTTTAGTAATAATTTTTTAACATTTACCCAGAATATCATCTTTTGTAAGTTGTATTGATTCTTGTTGAATTTTTATAATTGGAGGTTGTGGAAATACAGAGGATATTTGTGTCAACTTTGTAAATTCTTCAGATTTTTCTATATTATTTTCTTCTGGACATGTAATAATAATTTGACATTCTTGTATTGATTTGGGTTGTATAGCAAATAAGTTTATAACTGTATTTTTAGACTGGAGGTTTATTTCACCTATATTAAAAAAATGACTACATTTAAATAACAATTCAATTAATAAAAGATTAAAAATTTTATAAAAATATGCCAATAATCTTTAAAAAAAAAAAATCAAATACTTACCTGAGTTAAGTTGATCAAGAAAACCATCATTGTTATCAGTAACCTTTGTATCAACAACAATCATATTTAATATTGGACTTTGTAATAAAATTTCAGAGACATTAACAATTTTCATATATTTATCAGAACTTTGTTGATCTAAAGCTACTTCCATAACATATAACAACTAAAATATAAAACAATATTGTAATAAAAGAGAAAATAAATTATAAAATTAATCAAAGAAAACACATTCACTGCTTGATAATAATGTAATTAATAATTTTTAATGAGTTTTATTTATATTTTTCCGAGGCAAAATATGCTACAATTGAACTTATACTTAAAGGTAACTATGTGAATGAAAAAACTTTTCAAGAAAATAATTCCACTTCAATGCTCATTAAAATGAAATTTTTTTAATAATAGAGATGTAATTTTATTAGAAAAATCACACACTAGATTTCAGCAGTTATTTCATAGAATCATTGTAGAAATTTTAAATACTGTTTATTGTACCACTGAATATGTAGAAATAACTTTTAGAGACCTGTATATAAAGTAAAAAAACAGGTTCATTTTTTTTTTTTTTTACAAAAATTTGGTGAGTTGTAGAGATTGATTCTTATTGAGATTTCCCTGGTCTCTCATAGACAAGTGCAAGCGCCTAATTAGATTTTATCTAATCTAAATAAAATTTTTTAATTTTATAGTGATAAATAAAATTATATAATAATAATTTTCAAAATGCTTGAGTTTTGAACTACAGACTGTTATCTAAAATTAGATAAATCTAAGACCATTATATAGTTCAATCAAAAATACTAAATTAAAAAAAAAAAAAAAATTGTGGCTTTAAAATAAAACTCAAAAGAAAAAATGCATAAAACAAATTAATTGATAGAACATTTTAAGAATCCCTTTTAAAAAAATCTAAAACATTTTGATTTTCGTTATCTTGATAAAATTACGTACCTCTTCTTCTTTATTAGATAAATATGCATTTTAATGAATACATATCCAAATTATTAGACGACTATTCAAAGTGGAAAAAAAAATAAAATAAAACTGTGTCAAACTACGGCAGAATTTCTTTCTGAAGTTCTAGGAATATTTTTAGAAATGTATTTTTATAATTCCATAGTGATATATTAAAAAGTGCAGATTTTTTTCTGTTATCTAAAAGTACATACAATCTATCTTCAAAAATAATACTTTATAAGGGTTAAAATATCTTATGGTCCAATTATGTCCAATGAAATGATTTTTAATTGAAAAATGATTTTTAAAATTGATTTTTACAAAATAATGAATGCAACATACTTTTACATTAATAAAGTTGGAGAATTAGGAAGGATTAATATGAATAAGGAATATAATTTTACATACATTTTATTAAATTTTAAATTGACACAATTTACATCGCAATAATATAGTTGAGACTGATTTAAATATGGTATTGCGACATTTCCAGAGCTGTTAGTGTATATTTTCGACATTGTCACTTTGACAACACAAAAAAGACTCAACATATATTTTTTTTGGGGTAGGGGTATTAAATATTTATCTCCCAAATTTATAATTTTTAGTTATATTTAAAATAGCAATCAATTAACCAGCGTAATGAATTGACTAAATACTATAATTAAGATATAAGTGTGTATCAACAAAAAAATATTTTAAAATTTATGTAAAATAAAATATATAAAATCAGTAAAACTTCTCTTACATTATTCTTGATATCACTTAAAAATAAATATCTTCCAGTTCCATCTATGTCTAGTTTCATTGGATTAACAGAATCAAATGGCTGAATAAATGACAATTTTTGAAGACAATTCCACGATTCACATGACCATACAAACAGCTCATTTTTAGTAGACAATGTGACAACATATTTCCAAAGTTCTATTCTGTAATAATTATTTAAACTTGATAAATATTATGCAATATTAATACCACAAAGAAATAAACAACCCTTATTTAGTTTAGTGAGTTTTAAATTGTATTTAATTTATTACATTTTTAATATAAACTATGAAACCATTATTACAGAAACAAATAAAAAAACAATAAAATATTTGAATATTCTAAGACGGAATAATTAATTTTTTAGTATAATCATCATTTTTAGATTTTTTTTTAAATTTTAACTTAATAAGTAAAGTTTTATTAATCAACTGATTAATTGATTATACTTTAATGTACAAAATTAATTTTATTGTACATACGATCCTTGAATTTCTTTTCGATTATCCAAAAACAACATTGATCTTAAAGATAAAAAAATTTCTTGAGGATGCCAGTTAAAAACACATTTTGGGTAATCATCAACTGCATCAAATGATATCTAAAACAAATGTATATAAATATGACAGATTATTGAAAAGTATTGTGACTAAAAATAATTTCAAATCAACACGTAAAATACAGAGTAATTGTCTAATTACAACTCACAGAATATTTTTAAAACTATAAACTATAATATAACAATTTTTTTTTCAAAAGTTTATAGTATCTTAAGTTTTTTAGTTTTAAAATTTTATCAACTTAAATTTTTTAAATGGAAACATATATGTTTAAATAACTTACAAACTAGAAAATAATCCTTTTTATAATAAGGTGGGAGGAGTAGTACAATTCATTGCTACCTAGATATAAAAATAAACAGACTAACGATTCACTTTTAGTCTATATTTTAAAATTATAGAAAATAAACTTTGTTATATAATCTAGTTAATAAAAATAAACCTGGAGCAGCTGGTTCTTAATCGTGATATTGATTTGTATGCTGACAATGTAATTTTTATTAATGACCTTGCTGGATTAGCTAACACCCATTCTAAAATTTACAGGACATCTAAATTGCGCTATTATTAGTTGTATTGAGTGAATAACTGATTTTCTATACCCTTATTATATTTATATTTAGTGAGGTATGAACCCCATTCTGGGAGGAGGATCCAGAGACAAGAGTGCCAGGATCTTATAGTGTGATGCCAGTGTCTCTACCATAATCTACGAAACCTAAAAAACTGCAAACATATGTATGTAGTTTTATACTGGTAGTTTAGTTTTTTAAATTATTATCATTGTAATTAATGATAAATAATTAAAAAATAACAACCTATATGGATTGCTCTTAAGTATAAAAAACACTAGTTATTTATTTTTAAGTAATTTTTGTTCTCAACAATATAAATTTACCAGTATAAATATTAAAAATTAAGTAATTTATATTCTTAACTGATAGACAAATATAAATAAGAGTTCGGCGAAAAACTCATTATCGAAAAGAAGTGATTCATGACATTACAATCATGAATTTATTTTTGTAAATAATAAAAAATAATTAAAAGGATTAAACATTTTACCTGATAAAAATAAATACTTCCATTGCTCAAAGCTAATGCTATAGTTGATCCATCAGGAGAAAAAGATACATCTACTATATCAAAGTCTTTTAAATCAATTCTTATTCTAGTCGATTCAAGGTTTGTTAATAGAACTTTGTCAAATGATTTGTTTAAATCAAAATCTGCATAAATTGGACCAGCTGTATAACTACTTGCAATACCAATATGCCAAATTTCAACCTAATAAAAAATTAAATAAGCCATAAACATTTTATGATATGATAATTCGTTTAAAAGTTATTAAGCTTTGCTAATATGAAATAATTAAACAAATAATAATTTGGACCTATATTATATTAATATTGGTAGTGAACTGAATGAAAATTATTTTGGTATAAAATACGTAAGCACAGTGTGTGATAAGTCAGCACTGACGAATTATTGCCATTACTCTCTACAACTTCTATACTAAGTACTTTCACGGTTTAACTAACGCTTATACATATAGGTCACATAATTTAAGTATAAAATTTGTAAATTTAAAAAAAAATACCCTTTCTCTTTCAAAAAAAAAAATTACCATCAAACAAAATCTTGATATATTGAAGTACAAGGGTAATACACTTAATAATATTTACCTCAGAACCACGAATAACAGATAAAATTTTTCCTGTATAAGATGGCTCGTATTCAAGTTCCTTGCTATTTCCTTCTTCGGGTACAAATTGACACCAAGATACAAGATGTTTATCACGAAAACAATAAGATGGATCCTAAGAAAAATGTAGATTCATTATACTTGAATCTTCAACTATAATATACACATGATTTGAAATATAAAATTTTTAAAAAGTTAACATACTCCTTTAATTTGAATTATAGGAATGACTCTTAAATTTTGAGAAGAAAAATCGTCTTTTATTAAATAAACATTTACAGTGCCCGTTTGATCAATACATGCCAGCATTAAAATTTCATAAAGGTGTGCAAAACTAATATCTTCAATAAATCCGGAAAATCCTTTAATTAAAGATCTTTCATTTGTTGCTGTTTTAACAACACGTACCAATCCCATTTTTGAATCAGCTAAATAATAAAATTATAGTTATCAATTTGTTTAGTTATTAAGTATGAAAAAATTCTATTAGGAATTTATCTTTACATACGTTTGGTGAAGCCATATGCAATATAATTTCCACTAATATGAATAGCAATTAAATGTCCTTTATAAAATCGTTCTTCCCAACAAAAGTCAACAAAATTTTTTAGTTTCATCCTTGAGCTGCCTTTTTCATGCAAACCTTGACTTGAAATGATTTTTGTTTCATTGCTATGAATGTGAAAAGTACAATCATCATCATTTCCATCAAATTTTCTGAAAGTTAATATTTCACACATTTGTAAATTAATTTTAATAGTAAAAATTCTCTAGTATACAACTATTGTACACTAGAGAATTATTTGTTACAATTATTTTGTTAAAAAGATAAAAAAATGGTATTTTTAGTAAAACAAAAAAGATTAAAAATTGTTTATTTGAAATGTAAAAATTACTTACCTTTCTTGACCAATATTAAATAATAAATTCATTAAAATATAAAAATGTAATTATATAAGGATTATATTTGAACACTATTATAGAATATTAGTCAGAGATACTACTATGAAGTCAGGATAGTACTTCAGAAAATTTTTTTTTATGTATTAATACATGAAATTGATTTTATTATATAAAATTTAAAAAAAAAAGAAACGATTCTAATAGGGAAAATAACTAAAAAATGCAAAAAATAAATTGCTAGCTAAGCTATAGTTTAACAGTGCCATTTTTTGAAAGGACAGTTGGGTTTTTTATACTCTAAAAAGGTTCCCTTCAATTATTAACTATATACTATGCATAATAAATTGTGAAAAAAAATATGTTGATAAACAAAAAATGGGATAAAAATTATAATAAAAATAAAATTGATATCACAGTAAACATAAGTATTGATGACATAGAAAAGTTTTTTCAACAAATAGCTAGACAATTTTTGTGAACATTTTGATATATTTCTACAAGTATTATTATAATGTAAAAAACTTATTTTAATATCTTCTCCTTAGTATAGTAATTAATATTTGAACGAATAAGGAGTTGGTAATAAATTATTTGGTTCCTATATATTGATTAAAATGATATCTCTCTATGTATGAATACAAGGATCTTGTGAGACATAGTAAAAAATAGAAAGATAAAGTGATATTAATATAAAAATTACTGTCTAGTTTAAGGTAAACTAATTGTAAAAATATACTACATCTTAAATTACCATAATTAACAAAAATTTAATTTATATTACAAAAAAGAAAATAAAATTATTGTAAATATCAGAATATTCTAAAAATTAAATAAATTGTTTCCTTAAAAATTAATATTTAAAACTAATTAAACTAACTACTTAATAGGACAGAAAATAATTTAAATCATTATTTTATATACAATAAAATATAAAATATCAGGGCCTGACTTTAGGGAGTACAAAGAATGGTACACTAGGGAAAATATTTAGATAAATTAAGAGTAAAAATAGCAGTAGTTCATTTTTATAATTTTTATTTTATGACTTGAGTCGATAGCCTATTAGCAGTAAGAAAAAGTAATGAGATCCAATCAGTGAAAATTGTTTTCATTTAACTAATATTGGTTTTGCTTTCCTAAACAATTTACAGAAATGGACTTCTACTATTCTTTCTATATACCTTTCAAATATAGTTAGCTATTTATATACAAGTTAAAGACTAGTTTTGGTTTATTAGAATATTAGAATAAGCAAAAACTTGACAAATATTCGATACACTTCTCACANAAGTTAAAGACTAATTTTGGTTTATTAGAATATTAGAATAAGCAAAAACTTGATAAATATTCGATACACTTCTCACATAAAAAAAAAAAGAAAAGATTTCTGTATCTGTACAACATTTATATAAATTTACTTATAATTGAATTTTGATAATATTAGTTTCAAACTTTTTTTAGAGATTCACTATATTTAATTGTTAGGGTCTGTACAGTATGCTATAAAATTACGCTTTATAAAGGATTTTTAATAAATAATGAACAAAAGGTTAAACACAGTTACATTTCCTTAATCCAAAAGTTTTTTCTTGTCAATTAAATTCGCTTGTAATAATTTATTTATTTTTTGGAACAAATATTACCAAGATTTATTCATACCAGCCTACAAGCATAGTATATACAAAAATTAAATTTGATAATATTTCTTTTAATATTTTCTCACTTAATTTAAAGCATTTAACTTGGGGTGGGTTTAATAGCAGTAAAACGAAAAAAAAAAAATTTATCTATAGAAAACTTTTTGGAAAATTATGCTTATTATTTATTATTAAAATGTAGAAAAAACTATTTTTCCTGAGTTCTTATAGGTTTATATTATATTGTAATAATACCAATGCAAACAAAATTTTTACTATTAGGTTTACATATTAAATTATAATTTTATAAAGAACTTAATTAAGGGAGATTGGACGGAATAGATCCCATCAGAATAATTATATTTACATGGTAAAGATATATTTTTTTTCAATTAAGAAAGGTTAGAAAAAATTTTTCTTATGTATACCCCCCCAAACAAAACTGTAATTATAGCACTGATTTTAATGATAAAATGAAGAATAATTCAACTTTTTTAACATTCTAGAAAATATAAAAATTAAAATATCTATTTAGAGAAACATTTTTTAATACTAAATACTCTTGTTCGGAAAATGCAAAGATTAAAATATTTGATTTTTATTCTACTTAGACACATGAAAAATTTTGCTCTAGAAAGCATAACGTTCAATAAAGAAAATTTTTATCAAAAATTAACCTATCATAATTAAACTGTTCTTAGGGATTTAGTCTTAAGAAAATATTTTAAGGGTTAATAAATATACATAGCATAAATCAATGACACAAATGCATTTACTTTTAAATGTATTATAAAATATTACACAGGTATTGATAATAAATATTATATTTATTATCTGACTAATATTTGTTTATAATACAAGATATACTATTATTTTTTTGAGTAACTTGAAAATAAACATTTACTTACATTACTTCAGCATTTAAATCGTTCATTTTAAAAAATATAAACAAACAAATATCCTGTAGTGCTAAAATCTAGTTTAATTTCATAAACTGAATAAAATGATAAATAAAAAATCATCCACGCCAATTCAAAATAAATTAAACGTTTACTATTAAAAGTAAAAGACAACTAACAGGGGGTAACTGAATTTGTATGCTGATATTCCGAAACTTGAAAGGCCGTTTGCTGATAACAATTCTTGGAATGATAACGTGCAATTATATGCATACATTTTAATCATTTAGTTTCACTAATACCATTTTTTCAATACAATTTTATCCACACTGGCGTCAGGTGTTAAATAAACCACAAATTTTAGCGTATTTTTATTATTAATCAAAAAATCACGAATGAATTGCAAGTATTATGATGAAATGACGGAGATTTGAAAATATGTATATTATTAATCCAAAGTCATTTGTAAAATTATTTAAACTCGTCAAAGTTTTAACTTGTTAATAATAATAGAAAACATGATCATAGTAACAACACTGAAAAATGGTAATGTTATGTAAGTTTTCTTATAAAATATCAATTTCAATAAGAAAAATGACGTTGCAATATGGGTACTAATGACAGTATGGATTATGATGAGATAAATGTGATATTTTAGGCCAATCTGAATAAAAAAAAATGTCTTTTTATTTCAATATTTGATATAGACGAGAAATAAAATAAAAATTAGTGAATCTTTAGATAAAAACTTTACCTAACAAGAATTTATAAAATTTTACAGTAAAATTACAAAAATATAATTTTTGTTTAATTTAATAACTTGTTTGTATTTATATATATATATAGGAATTTTTCAAAATTTTTAATCAAAATGTAGTCTAAGAAAAAGATTAAAATGATCAATAATGACATATAGTGTTATCAACACAATTATTGACAATACAAAACCGATAAAGTTATTTTGTAATATCAACCACATTTTTTCTAATAAAATATTTTTCTCTTTAAAAAATTTAAGGGTCCTATTCTCTAGTTGGTTCTCATGAATGAAATTTGTTTAAAATATTCTTAAGCATGCTATTTATATAGCTTAAGTACAGCTTATTAATTGGAATCAACTATTGTGGCTATTAGTTGAAAAAAAAACTGATGATAATTAAAAGCAATTTTGCTAATATGAAATTAAACATTTTTTCAATAAATTGATACGAAAATAAATAAAGTAATTTTATTATTATCATTACAATATTAGATATTTTTATCTAAATACGCTTTTATTACATTAATAAAAATACTTTGTTATTTAATTTTTCTATATATTATGCAACCATAGACGGATATAATTACGTATAATAAATAATACTTCGCGTAAAAAAACAATTTTTTTTAATGTGTTAAATTATGTGAATATAATACAAATACAAATATTTTGCCTAAACATATCTGTGACATACAATAATAATTAACAACAATTATTCATACAACAATAAAACTTCTATACATGTTCATTCATATATTTATATAATTTTAACACATTAATATAATTTATTAGTTTCATTTATGTTTAAAATACATATGAATTGACATAGTTAAACATAATTTTATAATTAGATAGTAATTAGACATGTTTGAGCAAACTGAATATGAACTGGACGTTTGAATTGGCTCTTTATTTCGACTACTTTTTGTTACGCTCAATATAACTGTAGCTTCCACAAGCGTTTTACCAGAACCTACGATCAGGCTATACTCTCCACTATGAGCTGGCAATACTGACTTTATTGTAAGTGTAGTAACTTGGCAATATGATGATGTAGATTGCTAAAAAATATGAAATATGAGATTTATTTCCTACAGTAATGCAGTCTTTGGTGGTGGGTTTTTGGGTCCAAATTCCTCTTACCCCAAAATATATGTAATGTAATGAAAATATATAGGGTAAATTTCATTACAGCATACAAATTGTTTTTTATGTAATACAGTGTTAAATCCTAGTATACTTCTGAGGGATCTGGAATTTTGATAGCTACCCTGATAATCTCAGAATGATAATGATAATAAAGCTGTTTTCAAAAATTTCACAATGTGTTTTATTTAATATTGAGATGAAAACCTTTTTTTTGTTGAGGAATAAAAATTTATTTATAATTTTTTGATAATGAAGTAAAATGTATTGTCTCTTTATTTCTAATTTTATTCTAAATTAATAATAATTTAATAATTAATGTTTTCAAATCTATGATTATGTATGATTGTTAAATTTTTTTAAAACTGTAATTGCAAATAATTATTCTACTAAAACTAGTATTGTACGAGTCATTGACATATAGAGGAAAAAGACCAAATGGAAGACCGCGGAAAAGATAGGATAGTGTTAAGGAATTATTACAATAAAATTGATGATGGAAAGAACAGGAAGCAGTAATATAATAGAGAGAGATGGAAGAAAATAGATTTTGCGACCAGAGTCTAAATGGCTCGTAAGGGTCTTGATAAAAAAAAAATGTACGAGTCTTAAATTTGCTGTCACCTCTTCATCTCCTTAAGCCCAGGCCTACACTTAAATTAGAGGAAAACAATTATTAGTTTGATCATGGGTGTGTATCTACTGGGAGTAAGAGGGTAGATTCTCTAAAATGATTATTTAGTGAATATTTTTTATATTTTAATTTTTATTATTAAGGAGTAATAAAAAAAATATTTTCGCATACAAATCTTTGCATAAACCCTGAGTACGCTTTTGAGTTAGACAAAATAATAATAATAATTCATTTTACATATTTTCAATTACCTATCATTATATTATTACTATATGAAAAATGTGTTAGTGAATGAGGTTGTAGAAATGCACCAACAGCTTTTTTATAGTGATAACAAGGAATCACGCTTTTAAATTAGATTTGAAATGTCAAGGATAAAAAAAGACTTGTCGTGTAAGACATAATGAGTAAAAATGGGATAAAATTTCAACGAAAAGTTAAATGAACATTTGTATTCCTAAAAGTTCAGCTTTTTTGAAAGACTAAAAAAATCTGATAGTCTGAGCAATATAGCCGTGGAAAAATTCTTTCTATTAATAATTAAGTTAAAATTAATATATAAATATGTTTTTATATTTAAAACTTACGGTTATGCTATGGGCTGCCAGTTGACCTACAGTGGTTCCCGGCCTAATGACTCTATCGTCTGCAATTATCCAAAATACTTTATTTGCCATTGGGTTTGCGCAAAATTCGGCCGACAGTCTAGTATCATCACCTTCGTGTGCAACTACTGTTCTATTCTCGATGTAAATTATTGGGCCGCCTTAAAATTCAAGAATTATAACATGTTATAATTAATAAAATGACTTAATCAGTTAATGAACAGTTAAAAGTTTTTCATGTTTTCTGGAAAATTCTCTTTGATAATGTAATAATATTTTTATTTAATTGATACAAAAATGTTACTTAATGATTTTATGTTGAAAGTTGAAATTTTCCATCGAATTTATAATCAAAAATTCGGAAGAAGTATGACTTAATTTAGATACTTGCTTTGAATTAAAAACTACTAAGTACAACTTGTTAAAAACATATTAGACAATTTTTTAGTTGAAACCTGAATACTGTTCATTCACTGATGATTTTATTTTTATAATTAATTTTTATTAAGCTTGTAAATCTTACCCACGACATTTAAATGAACAGTATAGATTCTTAGTTTCTCATGGTTTTGATTCTTACTACCGACAATGCACTTGTATTCACCCGCCTCTTGGTATAGCACTTGCTCAATGTGAAGATTTCTGCTAGCCCCTATGGGTTCCAGTTGATCTTCAGCAGTAGATTTGGCCCAACAAGGTATGGTTGCACTAGGGCCGGACGGACATTCTAATTGTACTTCACCACCTACTGTTACTTCCACGGATTCAACTGAGCCAACTCGGTCCTCTTCAATTAGTTCTTTGCGAACCGATTCCAGCTCTTCCGTGTTATCTAGAAAAAAACATTTTTATACTAACAATTAAATATTATATTATTAATTCATTTAAAATTCTTACATCTCACGTTCAAAAAATAACCTATTGACGAATATTCAGACAGCAAATGGCGGCTCGTACATTTATACCAACCACTATGGTTTTTCTTTATGGACGTAAAATTTAGATAACCATCATCAGTCTGTAGGACGGGAGGAGCGCTATCATCTATAAAATTATAAAAGTTTTTAGGATTTATAAAATTTAAAAGTATATTATTTACTAATTTTACATATTTTCATTGTTTGTTCAATGAATTTCTATATTATAATTTAAAAGAACTTTGATTACCTTTTTGCCAGACAGGTGATGATGGTGGATTTGAATCGACATCACATTTTAAGGACACGGGAATGCCTTCTCTTATAGGTATTCCAAACCCCGGAACTCTACTAATACCGAACGATGGAGTGTCTACAATTAAAAAAACGTTAAATTGTTACTTCTTATCTTTTTTATACGACCATAAGTAAATTAATAAAAGTACTCACATTGGACGTCTAAAAGTATAGTAGTGTTCAAGGGATTGACGAGGGTAACGTGCGTGACAACACAGGCAATCGTAGCGTTGTGGTGAGCACGTAAAACCCTTTGGATTTTTGCTGAGCTTCGACTCACGTCTTGCTCCTGATAAGAATCATTGGACTGCAATAGTCCCGAAGACATATTTTCATCATTGTCTAAGTTGCTATTACCCGGAAGTAACAACCAATGAAGGGACGGCATCGGATTTCCTCCTTCAACCACGCATTCTATACTCAAGTCCATATTTTCTTTTACTGGTACAAATAAGTTACCTGGATCTAGACGACGTCCGTCAATTAATAGATATGGTTCTTTAGGAGTTTCTATAAAAATTTAAAAACACAAATATAATTTATATTACAAATGTATGTTACTGTTAATATATTTATTACCTAGGACCACCAAATTAATTGCTCTGGCTACTTGTTTTTCATTGACGCATTGCCATATACCATTGTCATCTACTCTTATGTTACTTATTACTAAAATTCCAGAATTATGGTTTAAATTATAACGGTGTCCTAGATCTACATTCTTTCCATTATGCAACCACCTTAAAAGTATTATATTTGATATTAATTTGAAACTCTGTTAGTAGATTATGTACATGAATAGTTCAAAATTGTTATTATATATATATATAT